ACACACACACACACACACACACACACACACAAAACCGTATTTTGTCCCATACCGGTCATGTTTGTCACCACCATTTCCTCATAAAGTCAATATTTTATTTGTCTTTATCGGCCGTTTTCTCAAAACGCTACTTTTCGCTATACTTTTTTAAATATCTCCACCGTTTTTCATCCAATCTTCATGAATTTTTCACAGAACGAAGAAAAGATGTAGATCTAATACAAAAAAGTTGTCTGTTTAATTTTATATATATATATATGGAATAGATTTTTGTTGGTGGTGTCTGGAGCGGGGATCTTCACGGATTTTTTGCAAACTTGAATGCTGCCTCAGGAAAAAAATTCATTAAAAATTGTCTAATTCGTTTAGGAAAAAAACAACAGACAAATTTTAAGATCTAATGTTTGTTAACACGCATTCTAAAAAACAATCAATTTCCATTCGCAGTAAGTGCGGTATTCATTACGTAAGACGGATCTGAGCTTTTAGACCGGCATAGTGGCAACTGATCGCTTAAAGACTGAAGTCGAAGCGTGTTGAGTTTGCCCTTGGAGTGTCAGGCTGGTATGACCACAATTGCATTGTCATTGTTTTGTTCTTATTTTGTTCTATTCGCCAGAATACAGGGTCATTTAAAAAGAATACAAGTATGCAAAAATCATCACGCGATATAAAAAACAACAACAACAACAAAACAAAAGCAAAACAGTAGAAAGCTCAAGCTTGGACACATGTGTTGTACATACCTTCACGTTTTTATTTCAGGTTTTACAAGTCTTGTGCTCAATGTGGCCACCACCGGCAGCAGCAACAACATCAAGCCCATACGAGAATTCCTTCCAAAAGCGCCTCAGAATGTCTCAGTCCACCCTAGATGGTAGTTGTATTCGATCTTTCACGTCATTGATATTTGCTGGAAGTGGTGGAACATAAACTCTGTCTTGTAACTTGTAACACACATCGACAAGAAGTGTCAATTCACTTTACTGCGCGAATGCTTTGATTTTTCAACAAGATGGAGCACCGCCCCCTTGGCATCTTTGGGTTCCAGCTCATCTGAATGAAAACGTGTCTCAGCGGTGGATTGGTACTACAGACCTCGCACTGCGGTTGGCTTGCCAGATCCCTGGACCTCACTCATGAGAGTTATTTTTTGTGCGGGGGCATATTAAAGACAAAAGTTTATGTTCCACCCAAGGACTACTATACTCAAGGACGTGCACAGTCGGATTCCTGACTTGGCTAGCGAAGGCCATCGAGTCAAACACTCCGGATATTCCCATACTGACTCAGTGCCTTATCTTTAGCTTTGACTCGTTCGTAGGAATCGGGGACTATTTATCTCCTTTGAAGTAGAATGAATCCTATCTGTAAAATTCGTTGATCTTAATAAAA